TATATACACACTCAGTGACCTGTCAGAACCCCCGGATCAGAGCACCTGTTTGTGAGCAGTTGTGAACATGCGTGTACGTGTATATACAAGATTTCTCCAATGGAATATTTAATAGTGACTGTGGAGGACCGAGACCCAACCCCCAAGACACGAGGCAGACATAGGGAAGACCAGAGCCCAAGGGCCTAAGAGGGATCCTGAGCGCAGAGCCCCAAGGGGCACCCGCACGGGAAGATCTGCCCACCCACCCCTCAGATCAGACCATAGGGGAGAACTGGGAGAGTCCCCCCAGCAACCACACACGACTTGATGTTTCCATGTTTTTTTTATTTGAATTTTATCTTCATGCCACACTTTCTGCATCATTTGATGATTATTTGAGGCTCATTGTAATTCAGGTTTATCAGGGTTTTTGTTAATTCTGTGTTTAAAATAGTCCTTGTCTTGGTTTACACCCAGCTTTAATGCTCTCCATTGCTTGATTTCTGTCAATTCTGGGGTCTCATAAATTGCGTATCAATGCATTTCATTCTAAAAGTGAACGTACGGCCAAAAGGTGAAAATGGTGTACGCCAAAAAAAAATTCGGATTTATAAAACTGTGCACATGCACACCTTCAAGCAATTTTACTTTATAGATCAGAACTGCACCTCAGAGTTTGCACACAAAGTCCCACCTCAGGTTCTGCCCTCTACACGCCCACAATCAACCATAAAGGGTCAATGCAACGTACCTCATGAATGGTAAGATGTATTTAAATGAGTTAATGAGTTTAAATGATCAGTATCACCAAAATCAAATGGCCGGCTCAGGCTCACATGAACAGACTGTCCATAATTTACACAGATTTTCCCTCATATTGCAGGAATACAGAAGTTTAGAGCAATGTGATTGTTCAAAAACTCAACTTCAAATTAATTTTTTCTCAGAGCCTAGATGCTAAAATAAACACTAAGTAAAATTAAACAATCCAACCGTTGTCCTGTTTTACAGCTAGTACTAAGTTCATTATACAGTGAGTGTGTGTGAACTTTGTTTTCAGGTGGGGATGACTGCAAACTCAAAGGCTGGGATCTCAGAGCTGGTTCATCACATCCGGTTTTCATCAGTAAAAGGTAGTAAGAGGACCTGAGGGTCATCTCTGAGAAACATTGTCCTTTTTTGGCAAACAGCTGACATTGTTTTTTCCTCCCAGTCACTCCATGGGTGTGTGCAGCATTCACAGCAGTCCACACTGTGAACACATCCTGGCTACAGGCAGGTGAGTGTCCTCTGGCCTGGAGAACTGTTCTCGTGCTGTTATTTTATCATCCTCATCTTCTTCTGCTGCAGCTACGATGAGCGGGTTCTGCTGTGGGACAGCAGGAACATGAAGCAGCCCCTTACAGAGACTCCAGTGGGTGGTGGGGTGTGGAGGCTGAAGTGGCACCCAGACCAGCCGTACCTGCTGCTAGCAGCCTGCATGCATAACAACTTCCATATCCTTCACTGCCAGCAGGCGCTAGGTTGGTGTGTGTGTGTACTTGTTTTTACTACAGAGTGAGGACCATTTGCACCATAGTTACTATCAAAGTGAGGTATTTGATTCAAAGTGAGGACCTCTTCAAYGTCCTCACTTTGTTTGCAGCTCTGCTGTGCGTTACTAGTTAGGTTTAGAGGTATGGTGTAAATTAAGTTTTGGTTCAGGTTAGTGTTAGCCTGGTTTAAACCAGACCCCGTCCTTCACTTTGCTTCATACAATGGTCTGGACTTGATGCATTGAGAATCGATTTCTTGCAGGAGGCGTGGCCTCTGCTGAAGTTTAAAATGATTGGATCAGTTGGCTGCAACGTAT